TTACAGATTTGAATAAATTTAGGAAAGTCAGATCCTAGGATTAAGGGAAAGATTTAATCAATCCCTAATTGAGAGAGATTATAGGAGTAATTGAGAGAGATCCTAGGAGTTTGTCTCTCCTATCTTTTCTTATTTAAGTTGTATGCTCAACATGTTTTATCAACACATTATCAATACATAAGTATTTCTTTTTCTCTCTCTCTTCATTTCTTCTTCTCTTCCTCTTTATTTTTCCACAACTTCCATGACAAGTTTATCTTGGTGCTTGAAATTTTTTATCTTAGAAGCTTTTTAGATTATTTGTTCATTTATTTGTTTTTCACATTTCAGATATAGCGGTTGCAAAGAAAGTCTGGCTCTGCAAATTCCTCGATAAGATAAAAGATAGGTAATTAATGTTCATGTAAACTCAACTGGGGTTTTTATTCTGGGTATAGCTCAATTTGGCATTAAACCGTTTAGCTCAGATTGTCAAATGTGCTCTTTCAATCGGCTTTCACAATCTGTTGACAGATGACAGGTTTGGCATTAACAATCTAATATTTGATTTCTTATGTTCATCTGATACGTTATAATCCTAGATTGTGCAAGTTGATCTATACAAGTTTAAGGATCCATATGCAAAACACCCAAATTCCAGTTTTGCAAAGTTCTACGGTTGAATCTTGTTTGTGTCCTCAAATCTTGCAGCGGTTTCAACATCCATAAAAAATCTTAAGAAATAAGGACATCAGATTTGTTTTGATATTTTTCTCTTGGTTCACCATGGGTTTTTGAAAAGTTTTAACATCACATGCAAGAAAATCTAAACAGATTACCAATGGAGGGGAGGTTTTTATCTGATTACATCACCCAACAGGGGAGGTTTTAGTCCATTTTGTAAAGAGATGGGAGGTTTCAGTACTTATGTGAAATTTCAAAGTAGGTTTAAGTCTTTTACCCAAAAGGATAACAACAAAACAGCCCAACAAATTACAATGATACTTTCTTTCCCCCTGCCTCTAATACTGCTTGCCCCTCTGCAACGAGACTTTACCACCATATCCTTTTAATGTTGCTTTTTTTTTTTTTTGGTCATGGCTAGTTGGGTTAAATCTGGTTTGTTTCATTATTATTCTAATGTTCATATCAGTGGGTTTCATATTTAATTAACAAGATAATAATGATGATAATGTAGCAAGTTGATTTTAATAACAATCATTATTTGGCTAACAGACATAAAAAAAAAATCAAGATCACCATATAAATAATAAGTTTCAGTCACTAACCAAGATTTAGGTCACATTTCCATATATGCAAATAAAAAACAACCAATCAACCAATGGGGAAAACGTTTCCCTTGAACCAATACCAAAAATGGATACTCCTTTTGTAGGCTGTTTTCTAGCCACTGGTGATGTGATGCATCCAAATCAATTTGGATAACCACTTTGTGGCAGAATTAAATGCTAGCCAGAGAGATCATCCCTCCATCAAAAGATGATAGAAAGTTTACATTCAAAGGAATATGGCCAAACCAACAATCAGGCAAATTAATCTGTGTATTTGTGTGTTCTGTGCATGGCTTCTGTTGGCAAAATGTGATTAGAAAGATCAATTCAATAATCTCAGTTTCTTCTTTTCCTGCCAAGATCTTGTATGTTAATGGTTTTCATATTTCTTCCTTTTCTTTCAACTGTTAATGCCTTCCGCATTCTTTAGCCTACATATTTTATTATTTGATGTTTCACAGTAAACACCCTGATGAATCTAGTTATCAAATTTATAAGAATCATGGCACTAAACTACTTCAATCAAAGATTAGAGAATGAAAACAATGACCTCATTACATCTTCAACTGATGGGGCTCTATATACACAGAGCAAATCCAACACACATGGCAAAATCTTTTTTTTTTTCTTTAATATGATTTTTGTTGTAACCTTTTGATATAGAGAATTGGGTAAAGAATGGAAGACCCATGAAGGTTTTAGTCCCATGAAAACAGAACTTCTAAAGAGAATAGAAATGAGAGTACTATGAGTCTGCTCACCTCACAAGTAGAAATCCTTGACGTGACATATGAAGCTGATTTGACATAAAATCTTAAGCTTAAAAGATAATAATTCTGTGAATGTTTTCCTTCATTTACTGTTCTACTATTTCCTCTACTACTAATCTTTTAAGTTGATCCATCCATATAAAAACCTAATGGTTCACATAGCATCTTTCATGATTTGAAATGACCTTGAAACCCAGACCATATTCCATTTGATTTTTTTTGATAATTCATATTCCATTTGATTTTGGGATATGCAACAATGGTTTCTTTTTCATTTAAGACTCTCCCTCCTAGCCACAGGCACTACAAACTACACATCAAAGAAATATATTTTCTTATTTTGTTTCCAATTGCAATCATCTATTGCGTTGAAGTGACTGTGACGCAAGTAACTATGGAGGAAATAAAAGGAAAGAGTAACCATACCCTAGTTATCTGATTCACATCTTCTAATAGATGATTGATGAGATAAACAGTGCCAGGGTTCAGGACCATAGGTAACTTGGGTTACAAACTTCAAGACATGTCACTGAAACAGAAAAATGCACATTTCAGCGACACTAACAGAGAATACCAGAAAGTGGTGAATTCTGATGTTAGATAGACTTTGCTTGGAGGAGTAAGTCCTGTTACTTGGGGCAAAATCATCAAAACTTGAATGGCATTAACAACCATGAAAAAACAGTGACTCATATTTGAAATGAGTTGTTCCTGTGGAAGTAGTTGTTATTTTCTGCTTGTTCTATTGAAGATCAAGGGAGTTTTGCATACATTTTTCTCAAATAGAATTAATGAAATCAAAGCCATTAATACCTACCAGCATAGGTCTAAAGTAGCTAAACCTTAGGCCAACATGTGCTAATATTTTAGGAGTCATATGGCTCTGCTATTGGTAAGGTATACTTGTCAATGGTTTTTTTTGTAGTGTTCTTAGTTAAGTAATCAAGTATAAGTTATCAAAGGTCACTGTGGTCAGATAGCTTCTTTAAAAGGAACTCAGCCACAGAGATTTTCTCCACTGTTGGAAAGAAAAGCTTTAGTGCCATTGAGAAACCACCCCTATTACATCCATCATCCATCCGCTGCATTTTCTTCACAATGTTTCTCTTTCTCCTCTTGTACTGAAGCTACCATATTAGAAAAGTAGTAAGTTTTGCAGCATTGCTCTAGCCAGTATCCTCTATTTCCAACCAACATTGAACTTGCACCAAGAATTCAAAACATTCTTTCTGAGAAACATAGTCTCCTTTGATATATTACTCCTTGAAATTTCCATTTTGAATTATTTGAATGGGTACATTTTAGAATGGCATTTCTTTTAATCAGAGACTAGTGCTGGAGATTTACCAACATTGGTTACATTGAGAATAATTGAAAAAGATTACAATGGATTAAGTATAGGTTAGCTCTTAGGTCATACTTCAAAATTTTCAATTTCCATTTGCATGCTTGGTCACACAATCAAAGATTACAATGGAATTAGAAAAATATATATCGCAAGAAAGCAACAGCATTGAGATGGACCCTGAAACAACTTAAGTCCCTGAAAAATCTCCACCAGAAAAACCTTTATTATATACAATAGTTGAGAAAGTTGTCACATCCATCAGTAAATGGGTAAAATTGATTAAATGACCTTCTTAAAACTAATACAAATATAACTGGCAATGGCTATTTTTTCACAGGTATTGGATAATTTGTTGCAATATGGTTGAATAAGGCTTAACACTTTAGAACAAGCTTTTTTTCTCTTCTAATTTTTTGTCTGTGTATAAGATAGAAAGATAGAAAGATAGATAGATATAGAGAGAGAGAGAGAGACCAGACTGTGAAGCAATTAATGACATGGCAACGTTCTTCAGTTTCTTGATTTTTAACACCATTTGTGTGTCTTCAATATCATTGGATTGCACAGATAAAAGTGCATATTCGCACCCCTACAAAAGAAATGAAATTAACACAAAAAAGCACATCACCAAAGTGCCAAACTCAAGCCTAATAATTAATTTCAAGTCCACAACATGTTATTTTAAAGCACGGTAAAATCCCAAAGAATATGCTAAATGCAAAAAAAAAAGGTAAAACATATAAAATAATGCTGCAAGGGGCCATTACTTAGTGCAATGGTAAAATCTTGGTCTGTCAAGCATGAGAACATGGGTCGAGTCTGAGAGCAGCCACGTTGTGTGAAAAAATGCCAAAGGTTAGGACCATATCCAGTACACCCTTCCCAAGATCCCAGATAGTTAGGAGCAACATTGGGAAATGGCCATTTTATATGAAGCAATATTGCAGATACAATGCAGAAATATGGCACAAGAAAATGGAAAAGGTCAAAAAAAGTTGTCAGATATAAAACATTCCAAGAGCAATGCATAGACACCTAAGGTAGTTAGGGAAAAAATCCAAAACAGTAGCTTGAACACAGCACATTGACTCTAAATACAAAACAGGGTTCATAGAGCATTAGATTCATTCTGGGTGAAAAATTAGTTGAACAGTACCCCTTGTCAGTGAAACTCTACTATACAGCAGTGTATTGTAACAGAAGATATCAAGGGGGAGGGTGGGGAGAAAATGGATAGCGCAACCACCAGACTTTTTTCCTAGATCATATCAGAGGGACATTTAACTTTGGAGAAACATGCATACAATTTGCTAACAGAAATTGCTATAAAGATCCATTTGTTCCAGAAACACTTGAATCCGATGCAAAATCTGCTTATATGGTTTTGTAACTTCCACTATACACTTCAAGTGAAAGAGTTCTCCCTAATATAGATGAAACCAATACTATAATGATTCAGTAATAATAGGCATTATTGAACTCTAAAGCTATCAAATTATGCTTTCATATTTTGAAAATCACTTAGGATTCGTTAAGTCATTGATACATGAGAAGGTCACACAATCGTTCCTTCAACTTGCAATCATATAAAGTAACAATAACTAATGATCATAAAAAGCAATACAACTACTATGAGGAGACTTCATAAGCATTACCTTTACTGCAATTGAATAAAATCCATTATCTAGTGAAATCTCGGCAAAATTCAACCACTCCTCATATGAGACTTGTAGCCAAGGATGATTTGTGGACTTATGTTCCCGTAGAACCAAGGCCTCGTATCTCCACGTCAAGCAGCTCTGCAAACAGTTGATTTGGAAATTACAAATAGTAAGCAGAAACATCAGCATAGACTCGTTTTTATTAAACTTGATGATGTAAAAAATTTGACGGGTCATAAAACTCGAAATTCAATAAGAAGCTAAAATGTGCATAAAATAAGGACCATCTTTCCCATGGTTTAGGGGTAAGCACTTATATTCTTACAATTTTAGAGTAGTTTCCCGCTTTCCCTAGTTCAATTTATTTAAGAATTTTAACCTAAAAACAATAAATAATAGCACTGTATATTAAATTAATTTACAAAAACAAATAGTTGCTTTATCCATCCCTACAATAAAGGGACATTACCCGATGTAGGTCCTGCCTATCCAGTGCTTAGGAGGAGCTGACCGGATAAAGAGCTAACCCTTGGCATTTCTTGCATTTCCTTCCCTTCATGATTCACAGCTAAAGTGGAATACCATTGCTCACAGCTAAATTGTTCAGTAATAAATAGAACAATTTAGAAATATTTCAAACTCCCTTACTTTGAAACTTCTTTCCTCCCCTTCATTGTTCACAGCTAAAGTAGAATACCATGCTCTTTTTCATTTGTTCAATTTCATGTTTTCTTTTTTCTTCCCTTGTTTACTCTTTCTGGCTTTTCTTAGGTAGTCACTCCAAAAGTATATAATTTCTTGCCTTCATAAAGAAGAGCAGGTTAATAGTTCTAAAGTAATAGATAAGAAAAAGGAGGGAAAAAAGAAATATAACAGCATTGAGCAGATAACTAGCAACTAATGAACCATGATGTATATAATAGATAAATTTAAGAAAACCACAAACGATATTAACACTTGTAGTTCTAGATGGCACTTGGACAATAGCAGATAGATCCCCTTGCTGGATTAACGTTGTCATCAACTAGTAGATTCTGGTCCAAGCAATTGATATTACTCTAATGGTCATTTATTGAATTTGTCCTCCAATGATTGAACTCAACCAACAACTAACTAATTAAGATTAATCAGCATACAAACGCTACGCAATATAGAAAAGCTTCTCCCAGTCTATTTGATTCTAATCAAGCTGGAGAAACTCAGCAAACATAAACAAACCACGAGTGATGAGATCTATATTAACAAAATAAATTGTCCATGTTATGGAGAACAATTTGGAACGCACAGTTGCAGTAGAAAACAGATTGCAGGAAATGTAAATAAAATGAAGAAATAATAGAAAAGCTTGCCTTAATGTCTCCTGCAAGAGCGAAAGCTCGAACAAAAAAGTCAATGACAGACAGTTTCTGCTCGATAGTTTTATCTGACATTTCTTTAATAACATGGAGAATTTCAGATCTCATCAACTCTCTCAAGCTCCACCGAACTGAAAGCAAGGATTTCACGTCTTTCGAAACCAAGACCATCTCCAGAATTCGAAGAGATTCATCATCGAATCTGCAGGAATGAGGGAATTGAACTATGTCAAAAAGTTATACTCTAGAGAAGATACGGCCAAAAAAAATTGAAGCAATATAAATTAGGTTTTAAGAAAGAGAATAAAAGAAACCTTCGTTTCTCGAGTTGGGAACGAAACAGAGAAATTCTTTCTGCAACACTATCAGGCATTTGAGGAAATGACACTTCCGAGTTCAGAGGTACAGTTTTCGCTTCAGAAGCACAACCACGTATTAAGGCTTGCACAGTTGCACTTGAAGGTTGAAAGCCTTCCGCATGTAATGGGCTTGGGCCACAACATGTTGAACCCGGACAGATTATTTAATATCTTAATTAGGCCGGGCTGGCCGGTGGCCCAAGCCCGGCTGTTGTATTAATTTCTGGTAGATTTTATCTCTTAAAGACCAAACTCAGCCCAATAACGTGTATATATTTTTCTTCGCTGGGCTATACAACGAAACCGAATCTCGGCTACCAACAAGCCTCGTAACAAAGACATTACAGCCACACGTTGGTAGCATCATGCACTAGCATCTCCCATGAAAATGGTGGTGATGTTATCAATGCGCAGTGGCTTGTTGGAGCATATCCGGACCCTTATTAGGGGATTTAGGGGTGTTCACGGTTAGGTTAATTTAATCGTGAGCTAATTTTTGAAACCGGATTATGGTTATCGGTTTTCAGAAAACCAGTAATCGAAACTGAATCAAAGCTGATCAATTAACCGGTTGACTGGTTTGGTTAATTGTCGGTTCAATTCGTCGATTTTTTAGTTTTTTTATTATTTATAATATTTATTATAGAAAAATATATAAATATATAATAAAATACTATAAATATATATAATATTATAATTTAAATAATAAATAATATATGATATATTATAAATACATATTTATATATAATACATATTTATTACTTTATAATGTATAGAAAATATAAAATATATATATATATGTATACTAGTTGGTTCGGTTAACCGCCGACTTTCTATTTTGATTAACTAAAATCGAACCAGTATCTTTGGTTTTTTAAAATATTGAACTGAAACCAAACCAACCGATTTAGTTAACCGAATTTTCATTTTGGTTTTTTTTTTTTTGCTCACTCCTATTAGGAGTGCAATTTGGTGGGCAGATTTAGATTGGGCTTTTGTGGTAATTATGGGTCCAAACCCGATGGTCCAAGCCTGAAGCGGTGTAAAATGTTAAATTGGGCTGGGTTAGATCAGGCTGAGGTCAACCCTAATCATCCTAAAACTTTGGATTGGGTTAAGATCTTGTTGGGTTCAAGTTCGGCTCAGGTTGGGTTCGAGTTTGTCTTGGGTTGGCATGACTTTTCTACTCCTTTTTGCAATTTTGCCAAATGTACTTATTTCTTAGACTATTGTTTAGTTTGGGAAAAGTGCAAATGTAAATATGTACGGTGCAAATACAATCTATGATCTATGACTATTAATAAAAATGAGTGTTCATTCTCGTTTTCGTCAAATATCCTAATTTTATTACCAATTTTACCCTTTAAGTGAGAAATTATATCGAGTATATAGACGGTGAAAGAGTGTGCGTATAAAAATGAAAAAAAAAATGCATGGTTTGGACATTTGTCACAAACCACTACATGTTTTGGACATTTGTGATAGACCAAATGTTAAGTTTTCTCCAATTCTTTTTGGACGAAAATCAGAAGCTTATCAACAAAACTATGGCAATTTAACATGGGATACATGTCCTGATACCCAAAACATTTTCAACGTTGTCAATTTCTTAATGGCAAAGGTCATTCTCAAGTTAACGATCAACTTTGTTTGATTTACTAATTGGAAGTTCATATTTTGTTCTTTGGTTCTTTCCGTTTTTAGTAATCTTTGGCTTTCTTAGTGGGTTAATTGAGACAATATTTTTTATTCCAAAAAAAAATCTGGAGGGGTAGAGGATGTCCAAATTAAGTGATTACTTAACCAATTAATAAAAGAGGTATATCTGTTATATAAATCAATTCCCTTTCTGTTATAATCTTTTTTAAATAATTTTCATTGTAGCCACCTAAAGTCTTTATAGTAAGTTGAGGATATGCTCATGATCCTATGATGTAAGTACTTTTTTTTAATTTTAAAAATTACATTTTTGTATTTGTAAAGTTATCTATCCAATTTCTGATTTATAATTTTCTTTGAGTGATTTTCAGAGATTTGGCAATGAGGATTGTGGGGGCTGAGATGGGTTTGATGATGGTGAAAGATTAAGGTTTCCTCATAAACCACTTGCAGCTAAGTGGGTCTTCTTTTGGGCAAAGGCTTCTCGTCGCTATTGTGATATACATAGTGGGTTTGGAAGTCACTTGAAGCAAAATATGTTCAGATGGTATTGGATGTCAAAAGGCTAGGTCATTTGGAATTATTAAGTCTCCCTTCTTTTAATTTAATTGCTTGTCTCAAGCTTTAAAATTACTTTTTTTTTTTGTTTAAACCACTTCTTCTTGAGCTATGGCATTGAAACATTATAAGGGATGGTTTTTTGTTCTTTTTTCTTTTGTTTTTTTGGTAGAATAGTAGTGTTTTGGAGATTATTTGTATAAATTACAAGTATGTGTGCTTATTTGCTCTCTCTCTGTCTCCTTCTCACACACACATAGACACGATGTGGAGTCCAATAACAACCAAATCAAATTATTTTGCATGTAAAGTTACATACTCCACTAATTAAAAAAATAGAGTAATTGTCAAATACTTGATTTTAAAAATAATAAAAAAGAATTATAATTATTTACTATTAATTATTCCTTTTACCCCATTATAATTATTTATTATTAATTATTCCTTTTTATCTCGTGCATTGCACGGGCTTTTTACTAGTATTTATAAATACTATATACAAGGTTTTTGTACTCAATATATTTGCATTTTTACTTTTCCCAGATTGAACGTAAGACTGTGTTTGGTTGTAGTGCAATTTTATTTGCACTAGTATAAATGCATGAGAGTGCAAATGAAAAAAAATGCAAATTCTCATTTAATTTTTTTTGTTTTACTTTATTATGTTTTATGTCTTAATTTACTTCATTTGTACTACAATCAAATCAGAAAAGCTAAAATTTGAAACAAAATAGGTTAGAATTTACACTCAAATCATTTGCACTGTTATAATTTTGCATCAGTGCAAATTTATTTGCATTGCAACCAAACACAGTCCAATAGTTCATGTTAATCCAATATTAACGTTATTGTGTGTAAAAGATCATAGTTTGATGGTTATCATGTTTTAGGGAAAAATTTTGCTTTTGAACTTAAAATTTTTTACATACAATACACTTGCATACATGTATAGATAAATAAATGTATATATATATATAGACATGTACATTTATAGATGCATAATTTGCATGTACATATGCATATATGCATGAATAACGAATATGCATATAATAAGTATTAGGGGGCCAATCCCCCTTGTTTTTTTATATATTTTTATTTTATATGTATTAGAAGGTCCCGCCCATCATTTTAAGGTTTTAAAGTAAAAAAAAAAAAAGGTTTATTGATGTATCCAAGGATATCAAGGTACACCAATACTGATAAAATATACTTTGTATCAAGCCCATCATATTGATATTGTAATCCTTGGATATACATGTAAATATAAAACTAATATGGATTCAAGTTGGATAAAGTTGATCAAGGCTTCAACCCTAACACTAACCTGAATTTCAACCCAACCCAATCCTACTTTTTCAAGTGAGGTTTGGACTAATCCATTCCAAATTGCAGCCTTACCTAACCCTTATACAAGGGGTACCAGTTACCTTGCTGCTATACTCTCTCTCCCTCTCTCCCTCTATATCTATCTATCTATATTTCTATCACCATCTCTTTATTTTTTATCTAGAATCAATTATTCTTGCTAATCTGTACTTCCTCTTTTATTATGATTCTTTCATGGACATATGTGACTGTTCTAAAAAAAGAAAGGCGGTTTTGTATCAAATTCATGGATTACCATAGGTGGTGTTTGGCATCAATGTCGTTTTCTGAGAAGACGACACCACATAGGCACCACATCAGAAAAAGCGATGTTTCAAAAAACTTCTTATTTGGTACTATTTTTTTCAGAAAAAAAAAGTTGCTCTACACCACACATTGAAAATCAGGAAAGTGTGGTATGAAGAAATGTCAAATTCAATGCTTTCTCATAAAACAGCCTATTGCTGCCAACAGTACAATGATGTGGCATCATCTTGGGTGTTGGATAATATAAACCAGTGATGAAAACGGTTTTACAGCACTGGTACCAAACAAAAAATAAGAAAACAGTGCTTACAACTCCAAACATATGCAGTACCAAACTCACAGCACCGATGCCAAATACCTACATAATTTATCAATCTTTCAATTTGCTTAAAGCAAAAATCGTGTGTGCCAAAGTATTGAATAATACATTGACAAAATATACCATTTGAGTTGAGTTCACTGTTAGCCTAGTGCCAAAACAATCTCTACACAATTTTCTTCTCATGCTTTGCAGCCTTTTTTTTTAGTTCTCTTTGACTTAGGCATATGCTTTTGCCTTGGCAGAAACTTCTACCATCTGTTCCCACTTCAAGGAGGCTTATTTTGTCTTCTCCAATCTACTTTTATGCCCCGTTTGGTTTGTGGGAATAGGGGTATAGAATATTCCAATTCCAACTATTTGGTTGGGTTGAATCGGAATTCCATTCTCATTCCTGTTGGAATGACACTCCCCCATTTGAGGAAATGGTCATTCTCTATCCCTCATTTGGGAATGAAATCTCATTCTTGCTTATTCCATTTCTCATTCCCATTCTTGTCTGAACCAAATAGACTATGTGAATAGACCATTCCGATTCCAACTACAAATCAAACAGACCTTTATTATTATTATTTTTTCTACTCAAACAATTGCATGAACTTCTTCCCTTCCACATGAAAAAAAAAAAATCTCAATATCCTGTGAATGCAATTTAACAACCACGGATCCACCTCTAAAGCATTCCCTCTTTCTCCTCGACTTAAATTTGCACAAGGTGAGGAAGCGATGGACTCGAAAAGCAGATCCGTCATTCAATTAATCATATCCACTTTCTCTTGGACAAGATTGTTTAATTGTAATCAGATTTGCCTTATTATTCATTCAAAACCAGTACTACTATGCACAAGGGGAACTGTACTCAATGAAAATATGAATGATAATCACCTGGAATCACTGCTCATGCTGGG